ACAAAAGACGACCATCGAAGGCGGTGTTGTCAAGATCAGAAAAGACACATTCAACTGTGACACACTTATATTTGAAGACTCACAAATCAAAACAGTTGCACTGGTGGACAAAGAGCAAAAACCATATGTGAAAGTAACATCTGAAGCCCCAGTGTTTGGGTTTTGGTCACCCGCCGTGGGGAAGTATGCGCCGTTTGTTTGTTTAGAGCCTTGGTTTGGAAGATGTGACACTGAATATTTCGATAAAAATTTCGACCAAAAGCCTTGGATGCAGTGCTTAGAGCCAAACAAGAAGTTTGAAGGAGGTTATTGTATTGAGATACTTTAAATGACTTTTGTTGTGATTGTTTTGGTAAATACAACGTTTACTGTATTTTCATTGTGTGTTAGATGACTTTGGTATTGATGCGAAGTTATTATACCTTTACATACTATATTGAGTTCGTTGACCAATAAAAAGTTAGACACTTATTGGTATTCTTGTTTTACTTTGTTTAATAATGGTCTATTATTGTAAAAACAAGCCTAATGTTTGTTATACACTTATTTGAATAAGGACAATTGGTAGTGTTGCTGGATCATAGTGGAATTGAAAAGGATAAATATATAAAAACTCACTCGAACAGAATCCATTTTACTTGGTTGTTGAATAACTTGGTGGCGAATTTTGCCTCCATTTGAATTCACTTTATATTAAATTGGTTAAATAAACCAATTCGATTGGTTTGGAATTTTTTCAAACTGCAATTATCTACTAACCTTTCCTCTTTAAAACAACTTTTTAAAATAAGGTGGTGGTTTTCTAAAAAAAATTGATTTTGAATTGGGTTGAGAATAAGCTGTGTACGCCCGTTTTTACTGATCAATAATGAACAATACTTAATAATTTGGGTAGTCTTTTTTTATCTTTTTAAATATAACACATATCTATTTATACACAGATTTGATATATATATAGTATTTATAATTGTATTTTTACTATAAATTTACTATCAAAAATGCATTGATCTTTTCTTGTGTTTTTTGAATCAAGAAAATGGAGAGTGTTCTATATATAAGTGATATCGATTTTTTTTAACGTCATGCGCTACATATGAAAAATAAGCAGTTTTGTCGAAAAGCAGAGGAGAAATTGGACAAAGTCCCACATAAAAGCAAATTTGACACCAATGATTCTATTAAAAGCCAATTTATTGCAAAAGAAAAGCAATTATTAAAAACTTGATTGATATAATGTGTGCCTCAAATTCAATCAAATAAAAAGGACAATTCTCTTATGAATAGTTGATCCCGAGACAAAGGCAAACTCTTCTTTTTCTTACCAAATAATTAATATTTTGTGTATTAAAAGCCTAGTATCCCAAGAATTCCAGCTGAAAACAAGCTTTATTTATACAGTTGTGAGCACTTTTATTGTTAAATATCAAAGCTTAAAATTTACCCAAACATCGTCCATTTTTACCCGCCCGATTTCATGAAAAGATGACCCCCTTATTTTTACGATTAGTTGATTTATTTTTACATATCAATTTGTTAATTTATGCTCAATTGTAGTGTTTTTTGTTCATGTTCCCAATTATTAGCACAAATTTTATATATTAAATACCTGATCAATATTAACCGAGGCAAAAACCAGTCGAATAATTCAACAATATTGTTACTTAAGAAATGGAGGTATTCAATTAAAAACACCTAAATATATCCGCTTTTTGAATAAGTAATTGACAGGTCTTACCAACGCTTTAAAGAGACAATTAAAAATATGACAACCCACTATATAAACGTGGTTTATCACACTTTTGCATATCACAAAAACAAATGGGAAACACATCTACAACACCAAGATCTTCAAGAAGCGGTTCTTTGACACACCCCGAGAAATTATCAGTCACCTTTGATACTTCAGACATCTCAATCTCAACCAAAAAGCACAAGACGATGAAACTCTCAAACCCACCCCGATTCTCCAACGAAGGAAATTCTATGACAACGTTGGCCAAATCAAAGTCGGACACCTCACTTTTCTCAAAGACAAAGCTATCTCTAAGACGAAGACATTTCACAAAACCACAACTCGAAGCAGTACAAACAGATAATGACACACAAGTCTCTTTTACCGAAAAAGATGAAAATAATTTGTATAACAATGTTTTATACAATTTCTTTGTATCTAGGACAATGGCTGATGATCTTAAAGTAGTATTTGACTCAGAAGTTTCGGGATTTGATCCAAGAGAACTCAGATCCAATATCAGCTGTAAAGACAGGCTCATTTTCATATTCAGAGTCAATGGGGATATCTTTGGATTTTATCAAGATGGATTTGTTCAACCATCCAAATCAAATTCAATGAATGTTGAAACAGACAACTTCTTTTTGTTCTCTTTCAAATTAACTGACTCTACTCCCTCTGTATATTCGAGAAAAACACAAAAGAAAAGTTCATTTATTCTGTATCCAGACTCCAATAGAATGGTCATTTCTGTATTTTCTGCGTTTTGGATGGACAAAGAGGGGATGATTTCTTTCAACCCCTGTGTCAAAGACTTCTACGATATCAAGAGTCCGTCTTTCAATCCTTTTGTGGACTCCAACCCAAGAGACAGACAGCCTTTTGTTTGTTCGAGGTTTCTAGTTTTGAGAGCCTAAATGTTATATTTTTATATAATAAATTATTGTTTTGTTGTTTATTTGTTTATTAATAATAAACTATTTTAAATTCTAATAATGAACAATTTCACTTCTATTTTTGATTTGTTTTAATTCAATTAACAAAACTTATTAATTAAATTAAAAGTATTTAATTTTATAGTTAAAAAAACATAGAATTTATTAGAATAAAATATATTAGAATATATATATTGTATCATATAGAATAAAAATAGAACAAATGAAACATAAATAAAAGACCTATCCTGCAATGACATTGAAAACAATGTACTTTTCCTTTCCTTTAACATCTCCAACTTGGTACGCCACAAAATAGTGCAAATCTCTTCGAACGGGAATTGGAAAAACAAGTGGGAGACTCCCCACCTCTCCGCCCGAGCCAAACATCTCCTTTCGACTCTTGACTTGATGATAGAAGACTCCAAAGTCTAGATACTCGTTTGGTATTTTCAAGTCAATAACATTAGCATTTTCAGGTTCGATATATTTTTGCATTTTTTGCTGATTGAAGTTCTCTGGGGTTCTTCCAGTCACACTTTTCATTAATGTGACGTACACGGTCTTATCTCCAATCGTGCACTTCCCAACAAATTTGTATCCTTCTTTGATTTGAGGGTCAATCAATAAATTCACTCCAAACGCAGGAAACTCAAATTTGTCGTCAAATATTTCGCTATCAAAAACACACAAATAGCAGTTCTCTCGAACAAGTAACAAATCCCTTTTGTGGTCAAATTGCACTATCAAGTTCTCGCATTTGACAACACTGTTGTACGTCTCAGGCAATTTGATGTAATTCTCCAACTCGGGCACATACACCAAAAAATCTGAATAGAAATATGCTGCAAATGACAGTTCAACAGACGTCGATACCGTTTCCTGTGTTCGTGGCGTTTTATTATGTAAACATGTCGTCGACCGACTCATCAATTTGAGTCGCTTCATTTGTTCCCCCTTTTCCATTTTTCGTATTTTCTCAAACAATTTGAGTTTCTGTATTTCAAACCCCGAGTCCATCGCACGCAGTTTTTCGTCTTTTTCAATCAGTAAAACATAACACGCCATTCTCCAGACGTTGCGCACTTTCAAGTAATTCTCTCGAAGAAGCTCTGCTTTTGCTATTTGCAGTACCGTGGCGTCCGGTAAAATGATTTCTATTTTTGGTTTATCAGCAAGTTCTTCCTTTGCAAAGATGACATACAAAATAGTCTTTGCCTTATTCATCCTAAAATAGTGATGCGGTACTACAACCAATTGTTCTATATTCTTTTCTGATTCTTGTTTATCGCGCTGTGAAGCGTCCAAGTCGGTTATGTCAACAACATGCCCCTCAAGACTTGTCGACATGATTTCGAGAACTTTTCGTTTGTATATGTTTGGGGTCGAACTTTCCACTAAACAGAGCCGTTCACTCTTCCATAGAGTCTCCTCAAATAACACACTTTTATTTGGATGAATTGTCGCAATGTTCTTTGCGCTAAAAAGTTGCTCTTTTTCTCTCAAAGTTCTATCGCAAAGTGCCTTTCGTCGATTTCTTAAAAAGTCGTCAGTCTTTGCCTTTGAGTCACTTGAAATTGTTTTTTGTTTTGTAGTAAAGTACTCAACATACTTTGGTGGTTCGCTTTGTTTTGTATCTTTTAATTTAAGTTGTTCTTTCAGTCTTCTCAGTTCGGTGTCTTTTTGTGTTACAAGATTTTCAAATCCCAATATTCTGTCATCTTTCTTTCGCAACTCAGAAACCAAATTGAACTTCTCCACTGCTTGTTTTTTGAGCTCTTCTCTCAGTGCTAAAATTGTTTTTTTGTCTTCAGTTTCATTTGATGTTTGTGAACCAACTGGAGGGAATGTTTCTGTTTGTTCAATGGCTGACAGACACATGTTTACCCACACCTCCAAATCCGTTTGGTATTTCTTTTGGATTTCCACAAACTGGTGTTGGAGTTTTTCGTGTGTGGGGCTTTGCTTCTGTTGCATCGTTTTTTTTCTTTTACAGTTCGTACCAAACTCCAAAAAACAGTTTGGATATAAAAATGGTGTTCTTATATGGTTTTATAATTATTAAAGATAATTAATTTTTATCCAATTTTTGCTTCGTTCAATACTTTGAAAAACGCAAATCAAATTTGGTTTAAATCCGTTAATAAACTTTAATTCCATTTCTCTATTTATTGATATAAACTAGTTCAATTTTTTTGCTTTTAATTTAAGTGGCATTACTTTTAATTTATATCGTTATAGTAATCTATTTTGTTATAGTAAAATGTTATAATACAATAGAATAAACATAAGTAAGTTAAATTGATGATAATTACAAACAAGACTAATCAACAATGATAATTGTGGCGTTCTCTAATTGACACTCGTCGTTTGAACACTTCCTTTCTTTATAAAAAGTGTCACGAACGATATTTTGCAGTATTTTACTCTCTTTTCGTAAATCTTCAGTTATTCCATTTTTCACGTCGATAATTGTGTTGTCAAGTTCGAGAGGACAAATTGCTGAACGAGTCATTTTATAAGCTCTCTGCCTAATTAAAGACTTTAGTCGACCCAAATACACAGAACTTTGAATTTCAAAATGTCCAAATTTTTGAATCAAAATTTTAGTTTTCAAACTGTCGAAAAAAATGTTTCGACACTCGTCAACTGCATTGACTAAATGCCACAATTTTTGCGTTTCTTGTGCGTTGAGTGTGTGAACACTTGCAGCCAATTTGATGATACATTCATTGGTTTTTATAATCAAATTCATTTGCTCGAAAAACATAATCCGCATAAGGTTCTCACTCTGGCGACTCTCTTTTGAGACGTCCTGAGAGAAGTCTATTAAGTAAATGAGTTCCCAACACTTAAATAGAAGGCCAAAGTAATTCAACAATTTTGGGTGATTTGCTTGAACGTTTTCGATATGAGAGTCGAGTAAAAAGTGGTTGTATCGAATTTGAAAATACACATCAAAGAATTCACAATAGAGAAATGAAACGTCTGCTGAATTGAAATGGGCCTTGAACGTGCCAATGGTAAATTCCCGTTTTTGTAACGCCTCTGCAAACTCTTCACCTTTTTCGCTTTGCAATACCCAAAACATTATCTCAAGTATTTTAACTTTCTTATTTAACTCTTTTGAACGTTTTTCGTGCTTTACAACGTATTTGGAAAATGAATCACTTTTATTGAGAAGCTTGTCTATAGATCGAGACGAGAGCGTCTCGGACTTTGACGCCCTAACAAACTTGCCCACAAGTGTTTTGTTGAACAGAGGCATAATATGAAGTAAGTTTCCTTTAAGACAACAGAAGTATTTTTGGGTGTGAGTCTTTGTTTATAGAATTTTTTAATTTTTTTTTTAGTTATTTTAGAGGTAACAGGCATTAATGCCTTTTTGGTAAAATTACTTTGAAAGGTTTTTTTTTGTATTTTATATTTTAACTGGTAAAAAAGAAGAGATCTTGTTTCGGGTTTTATACAAATAATTCATTAATATGGTTATGCTATAACGATATTGTCGTTGTTGAGAGTTCAACAATAAATATATTATTATAATAGTAATTATTGTTTAATAATGTGTAAAATGTCTTATCTATTAACAATGGTTATGGGTGTCATAATAAAACAATAAAAACAAAAACCCCGTTGTATTTTTGTTAAACAACATTTCCAAAAACAACTTGAAGATAACGAAAATAAAATCTATTTTTAATGTTAATTGAAAAATTCTAGATTTTGAGTGTTTAAGTAAATTATAAATCAAATTAATAACTAATTTATATTTTAATTGAACATTGGAATAATTATAAATTATAATATGTTATAATTAATTTTTTAGAGTTTTTAGTAATAATTGTAATTTACCATTTAATAGTATTATATTAATACAATTATTTATTTAATTATTAAGTAATAATAGATAAAAATTAATTTTTTTTAGTTTAGTTTGTATTCTATGATATTCTATATAATGGGGTACTTATTATTCAAATAAGAAACAATAGCAACCAAATATCTAATTTGATTCCAACTAAAATGGGTTATTATTTTAAGTTTTACACAATTAAAAAAAAAAATTTCATTAATTTACATTTTGTTTTAATTATAAACAAATTATTATAAATAGTTAATAATAATAAAATGTATTAAAATTTCAATGAAAGTTCTGGTTTAACTAATAGTTTGAATTAATTAAATGTGTTTTTTAATAAAAAGTAAAAAAATTATGAACAATTGTTAAAAAAAACAAAAAAACAAATGTAGTTAAGTTAGTTAATCTGGACATTTAATCTTCTTATATTATATTATGGTTTAATTATAATTTAATTATCATATTTTTATTCTGATTATATTTTTTGACCAAAAAAAAAACCAATCATTCTTATCCGGTTAATATGGTTTATTGATTAGTTTACATTTTTAAAAATAAAAATCATTGAATAAATTAAATTAAAAAGATAATTAATAGATAATGATTAATTGTATTTCATGTGTTTTACTGAAAATAATAATCAAATTATTTTATTATTATTAGCAAATTAAATATATTATAAATAATAATATTAAAGTCAGTCTGAAAACTTTGTCCGCTCTCCAACGTTGTCCAGGCATTTTTGGACCATCAAAACCGGAATATTTCGGGAAACAATTCGAAACACTCCCAAAACATCGTTTCATAATTTTTACCGGGATTTTTCTCGTTTTTTCCTAATTCCCATATTTTTCAACTTATTTTGTGTAAAATTTTGTCAAATGGACAACGTTTTTAGACAGACTTTATTAAAAAAATTGTTAGACGAAAACAAAAAAGTGGACAAAACAAAAAACTTTTATTTTGTTGGTATAAAACATCCTCAAACTAAAAATGGAGTTTTTTATACATTCAACAATGGAACGCAAATACTAATTTAATAAGTAATAATTCCATAGATTATTAAATAGAGGATAAAACGTCCGTTATACAAAAGTTAGCTAAAAAATAATTATACGGTATTATGAAGTAAAAATATATATAATAATTTTTATAATAATACAATAGTAAATTATTGTTAATATTAAAATTAAATTAGAGACATAAATGGTAGTTCAGATACATTTTATTTAAAGAAAAACGGGTACTTATTAGGTACAAACGCCCATATACAGTTGTCATAAATCTTAGTCTCCTTTGAGGGTCTGCGACTATGCAGTTAAATAATTTGTGGAGACTGTTTTCGGCATTATATAAAAAACTGGCAACAAAGATAATTTTTAGAAACAATGAATAAGAAAGTAATTATAATTTAATATTTATATTAAAACAGTGGTGAATACAAAATGTAAGTATAACAATGCACTTTTATACCTGGGTCTGAAATATTAGAAGTTATTCTCGACTGTTTTCTTCATTTTTTACACTAGTCAAGTTAAGTAAAATGATGTTAAGTGAACATAATAAGAAGCACTATTAAATTCAAGGTTTTAACTGCTTATTTCAAATGTCTACATCTAAGGTACTCAAACCAATATTTCAACCAAAAAGAAATCCATCCAAAAAGCTTCATGGAGACAATTATATACACAACTTTGGCACATGCCAACTCTTTCCAACAACTCATATTTTGTTTGACGATGAAGAGGCAGATGATGAAATTGCAAGTATCTTGAAGAAGACTTTGCCAAAGAACAATTTTGTATTTGTTGGGGATTCACTCACAGTTTTGCCTTTGGACGACCTTGCTGACTCTCCCAGATTTCCTTGAATGTAAAAAGGAGTAACAGAAGAACACAACGATATTTAATATGCTATTTAAACACTATTTATTACTTAAAGTTTTGTGTTTATCTTTTTTTAAGTTGTTGTGTATAAAAAAATATCAAGAGAGTAAATTACCTACACCCAAATTACAATTTAATAATAATTCGAGTCAAATGGAGTCATTGAATTGACTTCAAGAACAAAGAAAATAAAAACCACCTCATTCTTGGGGAGTTAATAACTGATGAAAAAAAAATCAATAAAAAGGAACATCGAAATAATATTATAAGGTAATGGACGGGTTTAATATGATGACGGTTGCTAAGTACTTTGTTTCGTTTGAAGACTTTTTAAATTTGGAGATGGTATGCAAAAAGTTCAGATACACAACAGCCAGATTTCATTTTAATCCAATACGACTGAATTCCAAAACAAGAAAATGGTTTTCTCGTCTTGAAACTTTACATATTTGGGTTAGAGAAGATGAACATTTTACAAACGAAAAATTCTATAAACAAGTTGTTTGGTATCCAGTCGAATACAGTGAAATTAAAAATGCAACAACTGAAACTGTTGAGTACAAAAACGTTGTGTACACAAAAAACGATTCGGCCAATTATGGGTGTTGCATACCCACAAGCGTCAAAGTTATTGGCGCAAATTGTATGGAAAAAATGATCAATTTGATTTGCACGCACATTCCAAACGGTGTCGAGTCTATCAAGAGAGAGGCATTTTTGCATTGCACATCACTTGTCAAAATTGGATTACCAAACAACTTAACAACTTTGGGTTCGTTCTGTTTTTCTTATTGCAAATCATTGACTTCAATAAGTCTTCCTGATAATTTGACCCGCCTCAAAGAACACACTTTTAACCAGTGTTATTCTCTTAAATCTATTCAATTCCCATCCAATTTGGTTCAAATAGATACCAGATGTTTCCGCTTTTGTCTATCTTTGGATAACATAACAATACCAAAAACAGTTACTTCATTGGGAGAAGGTTGTTTTGCAAATTGTACTATTTTAAAGAATGTTCAGCTCGATTGTGATATTCAAGAACTAACAGACACGTGTTTTTACAATTGTTACTCACTAAAAGAAATTGCAATTCCTCAAAAAGTCACACGTCTTGGGAGGTGGTGCTTCATCAACTGTTCTTCATTAGAAAAAATTAACACCCTATCAAACATCCAAACTGTCGACGACTTTTGTTTTTGTGGTTGTTATGCACTCACTTCCATTCATCTTTCTGCGTGTCTCAAAAGTGTTGGTGACTATTGTTTTAGAAAATGTATTTCACTCAAATCAATAACATTCAATTCAAGTGACATTTCGTTTGGGCAAGACTGCTTCCTGGAGTGCGCTTCATGTTTTCCAGTAATCGTGAACCATGATCACAAGAATTTGATCATCAAGTGATATTTAAAAATACTGTAACACTTCTTACATTTAACTGACTTGTTTTTTTAACACTTCATGAGCCTTTTCAATAAGATCAATTGTTGAAAAATAAACTGTAACGAAAATTAATTATATTTATACATTGTATAAACAAATAATGTTGTTGTAGAGTCAGTCTTATAAAGTTATCTAGTGGACAAAAAATACCTTCATTTTTGTCTAAACATCGGGCATTAGGTAAAACGTGAAAAAACCCGAAACAATTGGGATGGATTTGTGGGACTGCTCCCCAAATTATTCCATTTTTTATGGTCCAAAAGGCACCAGATAACGTTAAAAGACAGACTGTATTCGATATTTTAATATTATTATTTTTGGTAGATTTAATTGCAAAAATATAACATGTTATTATTGTCCAATCCTTCTAGAAAACTCAGTTCATTCATTTTTAGCATCAATATCATAAAACAACAACAAAAAAGTTAAATAATAACATATTCTTTACAAAACACATTTATACACTCCATCTACACAACTGTGTACAGATTCCTGTCTGTTGGGATAAACGCGCTTGGTGTTTCTTTCCGATGGAGTAAGTCTTCCAACGTGACTGATCCTTTAATTTTACAGTTTTGGATGTCGTCGATGAGTCTCCCCAACATATCTCCATGTGTTTTTGGAGAGAACACATTTCCGAGTGGATCGATGATTGAATCCCACACATACAAATGCATTGAGCTTATAGATGCCTTCATTGTAGTCATAGCCATGTTCAGAACAAATCCCCTTTCAATCAGTATGAATGCCAAAAAATTGGAGAACGCGGCTTCTCTATTACGACAAATTGTGATGAGTGTTTGTGGGGCGTCTTCCTTCATCTGTGTGTCTTGATTTGCTCTATTGAGTTTCGTGAGGTTAATTGCGATCGTATTAAATTTGAGGTTGCGCGCCTCGAAGATGATGGAGTCCATCTTCCGACAGAAAACAGTGGAAATTTCGTCGATCATTTGTTGAGAATACACCTTCCGTTGGAAGACCGCTTCCTTCCCAATCAACACTTTAAGCGCATAATTTGACTGTTTTGCGCCTTTGAATGTGATTGCCCCACCCGCGAATAAAAAGTGGTAGACGAGCATTGCTGTCGACCTTGCTTTCTTGCACCTTGAGCGGAAGTTGTTCAGTTTCTTGCGGTCCATCGAAGAGTGGACCTTTTAAGTTATTAGGTATTTTTTCAGAAGCTATATTTACTGTCTTGAATGAATTCCCATACAGTTCGTGGTGCCAATCAAAGCCTTTTTTAATCATAATTCCACTTTTCTTTCTCATAACTGTCTCTAAAATATGAAATATGTCGGGTATGTGTTCCGTTTGACAAATCCGGTTAACTGGTAGATTACAAGTCAAACATAAATAATAAGAAATCCTTTTATACTATTACGAAACTATATTTTTACTTTTGATGACATTTTTGTAAAGTTGTTTAAAAAGCAATTCTATTAATACGGTACTTTTAGAGGTTTTTAAATCATGGCATTTCTCACTCTTTATTACAATTTTGTTATTTTAACTTCATTTCCCGTATTTTGCGACTTATTGGTACTATTATAAGTAAAAGGTAATGATATAAATTAAAACATAAAATTGCCGCAAAAATTGTAAGAAGTTGCTTTAATCATAATTTTGGGAATCGCAAATGCCATAAAAAAAATAGTGATTGGTATAAAAAACTAATGTTAAAAATTTTATAATAAAAATAAAGTTAAAATTATTAAGTTGTTTATAATAGTTATATGGTTGATTGTAATACTTTTAAAAAGAAAAAAAAATATTTGTTTAAAAACAATTTTTTAATTAAAAATAAATAAAACAAAATAATATTATTTTAGAAAAATTAATTTAATTAAATATTGTAATTTTACTATAATAATATAGTAAAATAATAGTAATTTTCTTAAAATTTTTTATTAATAGAGTTTGTTTGATTTAACCAAAAACACAACAATTTTAGATTTTTTTTTCAATGAATTCATTCATTTATGAAAGTTCAAACACATTTTTAAAACAACACCCATAAGCTCTTAAATACAGAACGCGATCAAATAAACAACTTTTACTCATGTATTTATGTTGTTCTAATTCTTATGCAAGGTTAATGAAAAGGTGTCTATGCTTATTTATTGTAATTTTTCTTCTTTAGAGTTTTAACATGTTTAGAATTGCAACTCTAAACTGTGTTCATGTGTAGTAATTTAAAATTTATCAACAATAAATACATAAAAACGATTGTTTAACAATTAAATAATAATAATTATATTTTTTTTATATTTTTTATTATTGTTATTATTATAAAAATATTATTAAATACTATAGTATTTTTCTGATAATTAAATAAAAAAATAAATAGAGTTGGTGGAAAAAAGTCCAGCTC